CTCCACAATCTGTCATGACCTAACTATGTATGTTCAAGCTCCCTACTATTATTCAGTATTTGTTCATTACTCTTTGAAAGTCTCGTAGGGTTTTCTGTTAGTTTATGATCTGTTTTACTTTCCTCCCCACATAAGCAAATTCAACCTTCCTCTCTACCCCTTAAAGCACCCTTTGCCTAATGATATAGCCTAAGAGTTGTTTGCATATAACTTTATATCTTCGTTCTTTTATAAGGCAACATAAACTTACTTATTGATGGAATCTGCAGTTTTCATTTTATGAATTTTTTATGCTAAGTTATTTGATGTTTAAAGATTTATGCAAACTATCAGCATTGTGGAATCTAAATCAGTATAAAAATATTCCTCTTTAATTCCTGCAAAACTTTTGGTGAATTTAACCTGATCTATATTCATGTTCCCATATTTCTTTTTGAAGAAAAATTCTCTTCAAATTTTGAAAGCAAGATTTTCTTTTTACTTTAAACCTTTCTGAGTCATTTTACTTTTGATGTCTCTGTTATATAGACTGGAAGTGAGTTTGCCTTTTAACTCAATCAAAAAAGTATTTTTGTTTCTTTTTTTTGAGACAGAGTCTCGCTCTGTCACCCCAGGTAGAGTGCAGTGGCATCATCATAGCTCACTGTAATCTCAAACTCCTGGGCTCAAACGATCCTCCTGCCTCGGCCTCCCGAGTAGCTGTGACTATGGACACACGCCACCATGCCTGGCTAATTTTTCTATTTTTTTTTTTTAGTAGAGACAGGGTCTCACTCTTGCTCAGGCTAGTCTCGAACACCTGACCTCAAGCAGTCCTCCTGCCTCGGCCTCCTAGAGTGCTAGGATTACAGGTGTGAGCCACCGTGCCCAGCTGAAAAGTTTTTTTACATAGGTGAATTTGGTTTATATGTATATAGTCTTGTATGCTCTCCATTTTTTTATTTTGTCACATTTTTTCTTTTGTTACTAATTTACTGTTTTCTTATTTCTTCCCTTTACCCTCCTTTGCCCCTACTGTTTTTCTTAAGATTTTGGATGTTTTATAGTTTGATTTTAACTCTTTTAGAGATAACTTTTATATTTTAAATACTATACTTATGCATGTATATCTTTTTTTTAATTTCAAAATAGTAATATTAAGGGGGTACAAATGTTTTTGTTATATGGATAGCTTTTAAAATGCTTAAGTCAGGGCTGTTGGTGTGCCCATCACCCAAATAGTTCATTGTACCTGTTAGGTAGACTTTTACCCCTCCCCTTCTCCCCTTTCTCCCTGCTTGATTTCCAATTAATTTTACTTCTCTCTGTGCCCATTAATCAGTTCCAAATTGTTAGAGAGCATATGTGGTGTTTGTTTTTCCATTCCTGGGATACTTCACTTAGGATAATGGTCTCCAGTTCTATCCAAATTACTGCAAAAGGCATTAATTCATTTCTTTTTATGGCTGAGTAGTACTCCACGGTATATATACACCACATTGTGTTAATTACTCATAAATTGATGGGCACTTAGGTTGATTCCACATCTTTGCAATTGTGAATTGTGCTGCAATAAACATTCGAGTGCAGGTGGCTTTTTGATAAAAATGACTTCTTTTCCTTTGGGTACAGTGGTGGGATTGCTGGATCGAATGGTAATCTACTTTTAGCTCTTTGAGAAATCTCCATACTGTTTTCCATAGAGGTTGTACTAATTTGCAGTCCCAACAATAGTGTATAAGTGTTCCTTTCTCTCTGCATTCATGCCAGCATCCATTGTTTTTTGACTTTTTAATAACAGCCATCCTGAGAGGGATAAGGTGATGTCTCATTGTGGTTTTAATTTGCATTTGCCTGATGGTTAGTGAGCATTTTTTCATGTTGGCTATTTGTCTGTCTTCTTTTAAAAAGCTTCTATTCATGTCTTTTGCCCACTTCTTAATGTGGCTGTTTGTCTTTTTCTTGCTGATTTGTTTGAGTTCTTGGTAAATTCTGGATCTACAGATGTCTAGAGTTTGTGAATATTTTCTCCCATTCAGTAGGTTGGGAGTCTATTTGCTCTGTTGATTATTTTCCCCAGCTGTACAAAAGCTTTTTAATTTAGTCGAGTATCATTCATTTATTTTTGTTGTTTCTGTATCATGTATTTCTTGATTTATCAACTTTAAAGATGCAATTAGCTCATTTAACACTAACTGTAACCTCCCTTTCACCTGCCTATCTTCTTCCTAATGGTCTTTTTGCTTTTCTTCTTGCTTTTTTTGCATGGATGTCTGAAAAATTCATTCTTTTTCCTTGAAGTTCAGTACTGTCACCAACATATGTCCCAGTATTGATCATTACATGCAAATTTTTCCTAGGACTTAGTAGGAAACTTAAAGTTTCTTTTTAAATTGTAGGTTTAATTCTTCCTTATCTATTTATTACTTTTCTGTTATTTGTTTCATTAGAGATAACAACAGACATTATTATGTTGGATTTTCACTGTCAGTCTTCAAATTCCATTATTTTTCTAATTGCTTTCATCTCTTTCTTCTCTTAATTGGTATAATTTCTTCGCTTTAATTTGTTATCTTATCCCCTAAATCTCCCTTTTCATCTCATTATCGTATCAACTTTTACCTCATACATTTCATGTCTTCTAAAATTATTCAGAGTATAAAATGTTTCGGAAAAATCTTCTTGTATCTTCTAGAGCATGCTTGTACAGATGATATTTACATCTTTCATTTGCAAACTATGTCTCCCATACTACCCACTGCAGAGTTGCAATGTTTTGCTGCTTAATCTTCTTATTTCTGTGTGGTAAAAATCATATGACATTAAATTTACCATCTTAACCATTTTAAGTGTACAGTATATTCACATTGTTGTGCAACAGATCTGTAACTTTTTCATCTTGTAACACTGGAATTATACCCACTAAACACTAATTCTCTGTCCACTCTCCCCGCAGCCCTTGGCAACTACCTTTCTACTTTCTCTTTCTACGATTTCAACTACTTTAGATACTTCATATGAGTGGAATCATACTGTATCTGTCCTTTGTGACCGGCTTATTTTGCTTAGTATACTGTCCTCAAGGTTCATTCATCATGTAGCATGTGACAGGATTTCTTTCTTTTTCAAGGCTGCACAATATCCCCTTTTATGCATATAACACATTTTATTATATTTCTAGTCGACAAATAGTAATTCACATTTTCTAAATACTTTCATCTGTTGATGAACATCTGGATTGCTTCCACCTCTTGGCTATCGTGAATAATGCTATGATAAACATAGGTGTGCAGATATCTTTTTGAGATCCTCCTTGAATTCCTTTTTTTTTTCTTGAGACAGGTCTTGCTCTGTTGCTTCGGCTAGTGTGCCACGGCATCACCATAGCTCACTGCAACTTGAAACTCTTGGGCTAGAACTACAGACGTGCACTACCATGTCCAGATAATTTTTCTACTTTTTATAGACAGGTTCTCGCTATGTTGCTCAAGCTGGTCTTGAACTCCTGGTCTCAAGTGATCCTCCTGCCTTCGCCTCCCAAAGTGCCTTAATTATAGGTGTGAGCCACTGCGCCAGGCTGAATTGTTTAGGTTATATGCCCAGATGTGGGATTGCGGGATCATATGGTAATTCTTTTTAATTTTTTGAGGAACCTCCACTATTTTCTATAATGTCTGCACCATTTTACATTCTCACCAAGAGTGCACAACGTTTCCAATTTCTCTGCATATGCACCGACACTTGTTATTTTCTGTTCTTTTGATAATGGCCTTCCTAATAGGTGTGAGGTGGTATCTCACTGTGGTTTTGATTTGTATTTCTATTATGATTAGAGATGCTGAGCATCTTTTCATATGCTTATTAGCCATTAGTATATCATCTTTGAAGAACTGTCTATTCAAGTCCTTTGCCCATTTTAAAATAAGGTTGGTTGTTTTCTTCTTGTTGAGTTGCAGAAGTTCCTTCTATATTCTGGATATTAACCCCTTATCAGATATGTGATTTACAAATATTTTCTCCCATTCTGTAGGTTGCCTATTCATGCTCATTATTTATTGTTTTCTCTGGCAAGTAGAAGTTTTCAAGTTTGATACAGTCTCATTTGCTCACTTTTGCTTTTGTTGCCTGTGCTTTTGGTGTCATATCCAAGAAATTGTTGCCACGTTCAATGTCCTGAAGCTTGTCCCCTATGTTTTCTTCTAGGAGTTTTACAGTTTTAGGTGTTACATTTATGTTTCTACTCCGTTTTGAGTTAATTTTTATATACGGTGTAAAGAAAGGGTCCAATTTCATTCTTTTGAATATGGACATTCACTTTTCCCAATACCATTTGTTGAAAAGACAATTTTTCCCCATTGTGTAGTCTTGGTATCCTTGTCAAAAATCATTTATTTCATACACTCTTGATGTAAGCAGTTGAACCGAGACTATTTTCAAAATACAGTTTAGGTAGATTAGCTCCTTGACTCCTTTCTCTCCTTACCTAGGTACTGTTCTATTTTACTCTAAGAAGTAAAGCTTGACAGGTAGTAATGGTTTGTGTTCTATATGCTTTTCTTTTATGTCAGAAAAAGGAAGCCATAAAAAAACAAATAGATTTGATTTTGGTTCTGTTTTACTGCAATTTTTTAAAAGTTTATATTATATTTATGCTCCCACTGTTTTTGTAACAGTCTTCTGGAATACCTTTAGTTTTTCCCTGTTTTAGTATTGAGACATAATGTTTCACTTCCAATAGATATCAGCCTTACATATTTATTTGTAATCTTGTTTCTAAGTTGCTACTATCTTTTTCCAGAGGTAATAATTATTTTACAAATCAACACAAATATCCACAAAGATAAAGTAGCATCGAAAGTATTTGCATAAGAAAGCAAAAAAAAATGAACCTTTATTTAAATCATGGGGCCATATTCTCATCAGAATGAAATGGAAACACATACACTGACACTCACGTACATGCAGAGAAACAGGTACACATACCCACACACAAACACACACAAACCTCTCAATCCCATTACCTTCAATATCTATCTGTAAGGATTCTTCATCTTCTGGCCAGGCTTCCATAGGAACTGTCGTCTTACTATGGATCTTCTCTTTCTGTTTAATGGCTTTAGTGTCTGGTAGGTTTTTAATCTTTGTGTCTTGTACTTGAGCTGAGTGCTCTGCAGCAGTAACATCACTGGAATCTAAAAGAGGGAAATTAATACATTATACAAACAGGAAGTTGACGATTTTATTTTATTTTTTTTAGAGACAGGTCTCACTGTTGCCCAGGCAGGAGTGTGGTGATATGATCATAGCTCACTGTAACCTTGACTTCTTGGACTTAAGTGATCCTTCTGCCTCGGCCTCCTGAGTAGCTGGGACTACTGGTATGTACCACAATACCTGGATAATTTTTTAATTTTTTGTAGAGACAAATTCCTGGCCTCAAGAGATCCTCCTGCCTCAGCCTCCCAAAGTGCTGGGATTACAGGTGTGAGCCAATGCTCCTGGCCAACAAAAAATATTTAAAAATATCTCTTGAGCATCTATTATGTGAAAGGCTTTGTTACTGGTGTTAAGAAAAAAATAAAAAGATCACTCGGAAATGTGTTTAGAAAACAATCTAAATTGGGGTCAAAAGTCATGTACATAAACAGATGTCATACCAAGTTAAAGAATTACAGCATAAAAGAGAGACAGATAAAAATGTATAATATCCAATGGGGGAAAAACTAATTCCAGCTAGGAGTATCACAGAACTCTGAACAATTGACTTGGACATTAGAAGACAGCTAAGATGGGACATACATTGAGATGGAAAGAAAAAGGCATTTTAGGCAAAAGTGACTACATAACAAAAGAATGGATTCAGGAAAGCCAACTGAGCAACCAAGAAATAGTGCAAGTGTGTGGTTTATTTGATTATAGAATTTATGAGGAAAAGAAGTAAGAACTAGCATTCTAAAGGTTGTTTGGGAGCTGATTCTGTTGTTCTGGAAGACTATGCTAAAAGAGTTTAGATTTTATTCTTAAGGCAATGGAAGTTTTTCATTAGGAGACTAATATGATCAAAACTATTTCTGGACCATTCATTTAGCAAGAGTAAAAAAGGGGTAAAATTTTGAAGTGTTGCCCAGAATACAATCTATCTTTTTTAGAAAAGCAATACATAAAGAAGAGAAGTGGCTAACTATGCTCTGAAATATGTTTGTAGTTTACAATTATGGCAGAAACTGCCATCTGTTCTCTAATATCCATTTTTCTTTTCCTCTAAAATAGAACCCTAACTTTAGCTGGGCATATGGGTACCTGAATAAAGACTATTTCCCAGCCTCCCTGGCAATTTAGGTTGGTGTGACCATGTGTCTAAGTCTGGCCAATAGGATGTAAGAGGAATGGTACATGTAACTTCTGAGAAGTATTCATAACGGAAGAAATATGCTTTTTCTTTCCCTTTCTTCCTGCTTGCTGGAATAGGAGCTGATGGCTTCAGCTTGAGAATGGAGGCCAAAACTGTTACAGTAACAGGAGAGTGAGAGCTTTGTTTCCTGAATATTCTGGAGCAGGTCACCACTGGATGCCTACCTCTAGGTTTTTATGAGATAGAGAAATAATCTTCTCTCTTCTTGAAGCCAATGTTATTTTGTTTTTGTTTTCATCCCTCAGAACCAAAACTAATCCTAACTGAACACGTTATTATAGACATTTTAATCAGAATAATCCAAATGAAGTAAAATAACCAGAAAGGTAGGAAGTAAACAAGCTGAATTCCAAAAGAATAAAGGATTATATACAACAACAGTATTACAGAGTCAGTATCTCATGGTGATGAAATATTTTTTCAGCAGAGGTAAAAGTCCATTAAGTGAATTTCTGGCAATGAGATTAATTTGTTTACTATATCCAAAAGTTCTCCAGAAATATCTCAGAGAGCTTTAAATAGACCAATTTTATCTGCCAAAGTATATAAAAAATGTAGCTTAACTATTTTAAATACGAACAAAATAAATGAGGATTGAAGATAGCAAAAAGAGAATAGAGAATACATTTCTGTTTATATTCTAAAAGGAACAGTCTCATTTTAGAAGACCAGAAGAAAATAATATACAGACAATCCAGTTTAGCTACCTGCAGTGTCTTTCTGCAAGGATTCTTTTTCTTCAGGCTGGACAACTTTAGTCACTGTCCTTGTACTAATGATTTCTCCTTTCCGTTTTTTGTCTGAGAGGTTCTCATCACCAGGAATGGGCACTTGAACTGAAGCATCTGGAATAACAACATCATTTGATCTCACAGAAAAGAAAAAGATAAACATCATAAACAAGTAACTCCCTCCAAAAAACACCCACAAACAAAACTTCAAACCCCTTTATATTAGGAAAAAAG